AGTAAAAGCCAATGGGAAATTTGGCTAGGATGACCAAATACTCCTACTCTTTTCGAGAAACGCCCTGAGATTTTTAATGACCACAGAGAGTAAGGACCCTGGTTTTACGTCTCATCCGAAGGACGGCACCTTTTTACAGTATAATATGCCTGTCACTATACTGGGGCATTAGGACCCACACAGACTGCAGGGTGAGCGCTCCGTACTGGCCCCACTAACACCTTTTCCAGCAGCAACCTTTGTTTTTCCCAGGAGGTCTGCCATTCAGGTGCTAACTGAGCTCACACCTGCCGAGCCTTCAGTGTGCTGCCAGTTGGGAGTTGTGGGGTGATATAGCTGCTGGCTGACACTAGCTCACACATGCGTATAAGATTCCAGTTAAGCGACCCCGGTGAACCTGGACAGCATACCTGCACTGTGGGGGAAACCCAGTGCACCCAGAGACATGGCAACAACTTCCAAAACCCCACACAGAAGGTGTCCTCGAAACCAAGAGCTGCTTGAGTTATTTCCTTCAACCAATTTCTAACTGCTTCAGCCAATTCAGGGTCACAGGGAGACCTGTAGCCCATCTGGGCAAGCAGTGTGTACAAGGCAAGATACACCCTGGAGGGGATGCCAGTCCATCGCAGGGCACACACAGAAGCACACACACTCTCACAAGGGCCAGTTTTCCCAAAAGCCAATTAATCTCCCAGCATGTCTTTGGGCTGTGGGAGGAAACCAGAGCGCCTGAAGGAAATCCACACAAACACAGGGAATACATCCAAACTCCACACAGATAGAACCCCAGGTCTGGAATTGAACCCAGGGCTCTAGCACAGCAAGGCAGCGAAATTTGCCAGTATGCCACCAAGCTGCCCTGAATTTTTTTAAACGAAAGACTGAAATAAGAAAACCATTTGTAACGGGAATCTTACCTGTTTCTCCAGGGGACAAAAGTGCCTTACGCCCAAGTGGGGTGAGACTAGGGACCCCAGCTCTCACATCCAGAGGACTCCTGGAAGACGATTTCCGGAAAGTGGCAGAGTTTATCCACAGAGGTGAGTGCATTACCATAGAAGAATGAGCTAAGTGCTCATGTGCGTTAAGCATTTTAGTGGATGTTTGCATTTGACAAATAAACTGAACTCTGAACTCTCTGCTTGAAGGTATACAAATCTGACGAAGAGGTTGTCTCCCTTTGACTGGGAGTATGCAACATTGATATTTTTAAATCTGAAATATTCCTAGCTGTGGATTGAGATGGAATGCAATTTGAAATGCGTCCCTCTCGTGCACCTTATGGAGTTAACGCGTTTGTCCCTGTTAATTGCCATTGTACTGAAAACAGTTGTGTACACTGAGTGTTCATGTACTTTCAGGAATCTCCCTGACAGTTGAAATTCAGAGGGATATGAACCCCAAGGCCACTCTTAAGGAGTTTAAGGACAAGATAGCGCAAGACGAGAAAGTCCAAATGAGAATTAAAGAAATCCGAGACGGGGTGGAAGCTTTTGCTGGAAGATTCCCTATGCCAGGGCTGCCCGAGCTGTGAAGTATCGGAGCAGTGCGTGTATGAATCCTGCAATCAAGAGCTGGTCTTTCCCAGGGCGTCCACTGAGCAGTGAACATCTGTAATCCCAGCCCAAGACTTGCCCAAGACTCCATGTGCACTTCTCAACAACAGATGGGAGAAACCCTTCATTTTAACCCTTAATTTTGAAATATTGAAATGCACACATTGACTCATTACTGTATGTCTCATCTTTTTCTTGCATTTTTCCTCTGTACATTTACAGACATCTAAAAATGTGCTTTTTTTGTGCATTCCTTAAAGTTGTGAAAATGTAGTTTCTGAATTGCCTGATTAAGTGTACCTGAAGTGAACATTATTTTACTTCTGATACCTAATTTCCTATGCGAGGCTGCACCACTGTAAAAACTAAAGCTACTGACCTTTTCCAAGACATTCAGGTAATTTTTTTTCTCTTAATAGTGTGTTGTTATTCTGTTTTAATTTTGTTCCTTCTGTGGGTGAAAACAGTTAATAAATAAAGAGCACTTCCTTTGTCTTCATTTATATAGATATATGAAACAGGACCATAAAGATATACACTTTAAAGTCTTTCAATGGTTCTTTAAAGCTTTAATAAAATAGTACATTGAGTTTTCTTGTACTATGAGTACTTTGTTTCAAATGTAATTTTTTTACCTTAAAAGTGTTTAAAGCTTTCTGATACAAGTGCAGTTCATATTGTATACATTTTTACTTGTGGTATTTTACCAGTATACTGTCTGCGAATTTGTTTTGAGAAGTGCTAAAGGTTAAACCAAATAGCTAAAAATGCACACCATTAAGACATCAAGTAATAGCTAAACCTTTATTGTGTTTTTTTTTTCATTTGTTACTTTTTTTCATAACTGGTAGAGGTTTTTGTTGGGATAATAGAATTAACTTTTTTGTCGATTGCACTCATGATGTTTGTGAACAGAAGAAACATGACAGAATTCACCACGTTCTTAAAGTCATAGCATTAACCACATAGCTTTATCTTAGTTTTATTTCGTTATTTTTGTACTTTTTATACAGTATGTGTACAGTACTTAAATTTCGTTCACATCTCTAGTTCTTAAGTGTCTCGATACAAGTACTGTATTAGGTAGCCACTTTAATTTTATTGAGGTTTTGATAAAATATCAAACTGGTAAAACGCTCAAATTTCCAGTGTGATTTACAAACATCCCACGATGTACTTGCAAATCTTCATTAATATTTACAAACAAAAAAATCTAATTTCCAACGTTGACATGAAATATCGCGGGACTTTGACGTCGTGTTTTAGAGATTTGCCGAGATGGACTGAATGATCTCGCGGGACAGTGACGGTTATTTCTCATCAGCCAGATGAAACGTAGATTGTTAAAGGGGTTGAAATGTGATTTGTCATCTGGTTAAACTCTGCTCACTTAAACCCTAAAATGATCAAATATTTGATAGTATATCCGCACCCCTCTGCACTGTGTTGAAGTATTCAAGCTTCTGCCCGCCCTAGAAATTACTGAAATTGTAAGCGTGGTTATGTTTTCATTTTTTCCCTCAATATAAGTATATAAACTAAGAGAGGTTGCTTTTCACCTTAAAATAAGTTGGACGTATTCCTCATAAAAAAAAACATAATGGGTAAGATCTGATAAAATACCTGTAAATAAATCTGTTTTAATATATAAAAGCGATTTTCAACATTATTAAAGGTAGAGTTGATCTTTTTTCATTACGATTTGCATACATGAGACAAGATAATAGATAAGGATAATAGAGAACAAAAGTGCTTTAAACTGCAGCAAACTCACAGGAGGTATCCTCCAAATGATTTGTAGTAGATGCACTGTTCATAAACGAACAGCCCCTGCAGTGATACTGTTATTAGCCTAATAAAGATTTCTTTTTATCATGGGTGGTAAAATCCGAAGCCGACTTTATGGACAATCTGACTATCTCTGGCGCACGCTTTGCACCGCAGTGTACCTATATATTTCTAATTAATTTCATACCAACGTGATATTTCATTTGGTGAGTAGTGGCATGATGTGAATGAAATACAGAAAGAGGAAAAAACGCCGACTGGGCGCTTTAATTACTACTCGGAGCCCCGACAAGCACCTGAGGAAGTTAGTGACTCCAACTTCCGCCTACAAATTAGTGTGTGACCGCCATAGCGCGCTAAAATTGAAGACAGGCTGGAGTGCAGTGGAGAGGGACATAAGTTTGGAAAACTTGGAGATAAATCGTCAAACAGGTTTGCAGAAATTTCAGCCGGTGAATTAACTTCAAATGTGTTTAAAACCATGATCTACAGAGGCTGTGTTGACGTCTTCTAGCAGAATTGATATTGGTGCGCTGTTTCTCGAGTTAACTTTCGGCACTGACGAGAATCATCACGATAGCCTGAAATAGGATAGGCATTTAAAATTTAGGATGAATAACTTGGTTGTCACGATGAGACTACCCGATCAAAAACCTATTGTGGACTGGACTTAAAATGTTTATGCACACTCGATCTCTTTGTTGTGGTAGGAGCGTGTCCGTCATTGAATCCTGCATTTACTTAAAATTGACTTGGATTTAAAATTAAAGCCCCGAGTAAAAAGTCTGGAAACAAGCAAGGAAATGGCGAATAATTTAGTGAAGAAAGGGGTCGTGTGTATAGTAAGCATAGACCTGAGCTGTTTAATTGTGACTGTTAAAGGGCAGCTGAGGTGTGCGTGTGTCCTGGGGGGGTATTATTGATCAGCATAAAACGGAAACATAAAAGAGCCTTGTGCTGAAGCTTCTCAAATCAATGAATGCTTTCTATGTAATTTATCTCAATTCTGTTAATCTGCACCCAAACAGCAAACCCATGGAGGCAGAAGACGTCATTGTTATTAGTGACGATGAAAATGACACTCCAGAAATCTTTGAGGACTCTTCCTTGATGATTTTGGAAGACTGCGCTGATAAAAGAGGTAAAAACCTGGGCAAATGGCCTTAAATTTGCTTAATCTTAACAAAGTGTTAACTTGCAACAGAGGTCACACCTTGGATTTAGTCATTGCAAATGACCCTTTTGGTTCTGGCTGATCTTGAACTAATCCTTTCTGATCACCTACCTGCTCTCTTTGGTTTAGAATTCTCTGTCTCACACTCTTCAGCCTCCACATGTGGAAAATACTGTAAAAACATAATTCTTACATTTCGGAAACGGAAGACTATGTCCTTTGTTCTCTGACTGTAGCCGAAAAGCTGGTCAACACATGAGTCTTTTCTGGAATTGATTACTGCAGCTGTCAGCTTGCTGGGGTGTCTAAATCCTTGCAAATCTCAGTTTGTCCAGAATTTTGGAGCCAGAATCCTGACCAGGTCTTGTGCGAGGGATGACATTACTCCTGCACTGGAGTCCTTGCACTGGCTTCCTCTCCGGTTTTGTGTCGACTAAAAAAATACGCATGCTCTACATAGCTTGGCCTACATTTTAAACCCATGTTTTAATTGTGCTACATTTGTTACTTGTTCTCCTTGTTAAGTTTTTTTTTTTACTGTAAAATGCTTGGAGAATTTACTTTTAAAGAAAATTATATAAAATAAAGATTATTGGAATGATGTAGAACTTGGGCCCTCTATAATTCATGTTTGCCAAAATGTTTCTAATAACAGCAGTTTGTTTAAAAGCAATGTTAAATGTGCACCCTTCTGTTTTTTAAAATAATGATTTTATATATGCTTTTTATTTTTGTATCTATAGTTACTCTGTTAATATGGCAAAGGATTGTAAGGTTCGAATGGAGAGCATATATTGTTGGTAATCCATATGCAATATAACACTGTATTTGGAAAAAAATTACAAAGCCACTATTTACATCTAAATATTATGTTTGTGCAACAGTGATCTTGAGAAGCTTTTTCAAAAAAGTTTTCTTCTATTCCAAACATGTTGACATGAATTCTGGGGTACAGTGTGTTCATCCAGCTCTGACATTTTTTTTTCCATTGTCATTTTCTGCAAGATTCTTCGTTTTTGGAACAGGAAAAATCCAACGAAGTTATTGACGACGAATTGTTAATTACATTTTCTCAAAAGGCTGTGGTCTTGCCCCACGCGCGGTATGACTGCACAACCTATCTTTTCAGGTATGTACAGTGAGCTTTCAGGTTTAAGGAATCTTGTATTGAAACCCGTTACCAGTCCATTATAGCAGCCTCAGAGAGATTCACCTATGGTCATTAAGTACATTACTAGTAATTTATTTGTGTGTGGGTTTGCTGTTGCGCACATCTATTCTGTCAATAATAGATCAATTTATTAAGTCCCTGTGGCCACCTAATTGTGAGTATTTGAAAATGGACACCACGCATTAAGATGTGAGAAATGTATTTTGTTTTTGTAGCAAAACTGAAGCTGAGATGAATGCCCCTGTTGAAGACAATCATAAGTTCTGTGAACAGTGTTATTGCTACATCTGTGATAAGTTAGCATCAGAGGTAAGGATAGGTTTATTGTGACTATATGTGTAGTTTGCTTCCGATGGTGGATCAAGCTCAACTGCTGCTTTAAAATGTCTTAATAAAGCTGTAAAAGTCAGCTGATGTCTTAATAGATGGTATAAATGCAACCAGATTCTTTTTAAGGAGTCTGAAGGGATGGCCATCTGCTGTAATGCCTCAGAAACGGATTAGACATCCCAGATGTTGTGTAAGTTCAGGCTGTCTATAAAACTAGGCATGTCAAGGGGAGGCCGTAACCTTTAGGCTATCAAAAGGTAACACCCCTGCGACACAGGAAATCTAAAATAATGCCTGTGGGGAACTAGTACGTGGATGGACTTTTCTATGGGTTGCCGCCCAACATTTTGCTACTATGCCTCTTATTAAGAAAATGACTTGCGCCTAAAAATGTATCTTAAAAAAACAATTTTGTAAACTGCAACAGATGTCTGTTATCTTTTCTGTAGAAACACTGTGCTGAAGATGCCTAGAGATAAGATCACTTTATTGGCCGTGTACAATTTCTTGCAGTAGGAGTTTCTTTTCACATACCCCAGCTTGCTCTCCATGAGACACACAGATGTTGGAGGGAAGCTTGGGGTCAGACCGCAGGGTCAGCCATTTATACGGCGCCCCTGGAGTAGTTGGGTTTAAGAGCCTTGCTCAGGGGCCCAACGGAGTAGGATTCCTCTGCAGCCGCGGGATTTGAACCGGCAACCTTCCAGCCACAGACGCAGATCCTTAGCAACAGTGCCACCACTCCGCCCCCCTGGATTATGCTAGATGATGCTAATTATTAGAACAGAGGGAGGAGTCTGAGTGAGACTACTTTAAATTAAGATGCATGGTAAACAATGCTAAGGATCTGCGCCTGTGGCTGGAAGGTTGCCAGTTCGTATCCCGCGGCCGGCAGAGGAATCCTACTCCATTGGGCCTCTGAGCAAGGCTCTTAACCCCAACTGCTCCAGGGGCGCTGTATAAATGGCTGACCCTGTGCTCTGACCCCAAGCTTCTCTCGCCCTGCCTGTGTGTCTCATGGAGAGCAAGTTGGGGTATGCGAAAAGACAAATTCCTGATACAAGAAATTGTATATGGCAAATAAAGTGATCTTATGTTCTGCACATTTGTTTTCCCTAAACTTCCTACCTGTAATAGTTCCTGGTGTTTCTTTAGAAATTACTGTGCCACGCACATAGAAAATAAACCACATTCTCAAAACCAAATAAACCACATTCACCCCTCAATTCCAAGTGGAAAATGTGTTACTGTAAGCCTTTTGGAATATCAATGAAGAAGGTGAAGTGTCTTCATAGCAGCTTTAGTCTTATACTAATTCTTTATAATATTTATATATTTAATTTTTCTGTATCCACACTGTACCTCACTTTGCAAACTACATATCTATTATTTTGCAGTGCCATGTCTGGATTTCCCCTGGAAATTGTCATTGCAATTCCCACAAATGGAGCACCTTCTGGAAGGCATGGAGAGACAAGAAAGCGCTGGGATACCTTGAGATGTTTCATTTTGACCTGCTGGAAGTGGATGCTGACTTGAGACAGGCTGGTGCGTCTCCTCATTGTACCATTTCTAATAATATTAACCCCTTCAACTTTGGTGCCATGTACCAGGCCGATAAACCCATTTGTATGTCGCAGCTTGATGTGCCTGAGATGGTGCCGACGTGTTCAGATCAGCACTGTCCAATTCTGTTCATGGAGTACTGGCCTGTCTCTGTTTTTTCTAAGTTTCTTTATCTCGGCATCTTCTGGAAAGCTGGGAGAAGTCGCATTGGTCCAGTTAAGCCAATAATGGTTTAACTCATTAAGTTGTACCTACAGATAAAGGCTCTCCAGGACATGGATTAGACAGCTCTTCTGGCACAGCGAGAAAATGGTATATGTAAGTCACAGTTTCTGAACATCCACCTTGGAGGAGAGTTGGTTTTAATTCTTCATTACACTCAAACTCTGAACTACCTTGTTGATCCAATTAGTGGATTAACAGGGCTAATATAACGCCTTTCCTCAGTTTTCAGGTGGTCTGTAACGAATCTGAAATCTGAGGGGGGAGGAGTTTGGCTTAAAAAGTTTTTCATTTTCTTTTCAGAATTTCACCTAATGCAGTTTGAAGCCGATTTATCATCCGAGTACAGCAAGTTCTTACAGGGACGGTTGATTTCTCTGGAAAGTCTCTACGCTTGTTCGTGCTACTGCCATGCGGCCATGGCGAAGAAATGCCAGCGGTGCTCTTCGAATCACGCAACCGTGCTCGCTTACGAGTAAGTCTGCAGCCCCGGACCTGGAGAGCCCCAGTCCAGACCGTCTTCAAGGCCTCCGGCTTCTAAAGACTGGTGACGCCTGTAAAGGGTTGAATCGACTAATCTGTCCAATTAAGAGAACTCTGGTTCTTGAAGACTGGAAAGTGCAAGTTGGAGGAGTTGATTTAATAGTGACCTGCAAAACCTGATGAATTGGGGCTCTCCAGGACCAGGGTTAAAGATCCCTGGTTTATAGAATTTTTTACAAATGTGAAAGCTTTTTTTTCCCTCAGTTTCAGTCTTTCATAGCCATATTATAACATTGGGTATACATAGCAATATGTGCAGTTTGGGGTGTTGCGTCGCGGAGAGCTGGATATCGGAGGGCCTGGTGTCTTCTGGGTGTTTCTCCACCCACCTTCACAGCTGGTCTGATTCCTTAATAATTACTGCACTCTGAGGTGATTTATAGGTAGCTCCTTCTTGAATGAAGTGAATGTCTTGGGTAATCGGCTGTAATCCGATTTAGAAAATTTGGTTAACTGTTCAATTTGCTACTTGGGTTGGAACAAAAACCAATAGATGCAAGACCCTCCAGGGACTGAGCTTGAGAGCCCAGGGCAGGTGTCAAGATGAGAAAGGTCAGTTGGACCCACAGACGTCTCCCTTGCCATTCCCAGATTCTTTTGCCTTTCTCCACACTTGTTCTTTTTATTTAACGATGAAAGGGTTAACAGATGTTACTTATACAAAATAATTTTCTGCTTTCACCTCTTATATAATTATTTACATTATGTCAGTATGTGAGATCTTCTTTCACAGGATAAAATCGGGTCTCGGAAGGGTCTTAAATTCAATGCAGGTGTGCCAGTATTTGCTAAACCTCTCCGTCTGTAGTCTCGGAAAAAGGTTTCTTTTCCATTATATCAATTCCTGCACAAAACTGGTCCATTTAAGGGTTAAATGTAATTTTGGGCATGACTGGAATACTTATAAATGAGTTGCTCCTTGCTTTCCACTGAAGCTCCAGCTGCTTCCTTTTTGTTTTGCTTAAATTTTAGAACTGATTAAAGTTCTTTTTTTTTTTTTTCCAACAAAACTTCCACAACTGGAGAACTTGTAGAGCTTTGTTGAAATCTGCATACGTTCTTCCACTGATCCTCGGAAAGTTTGATCATTGTCTTCTTTTCCCCCTGTTTTATTTTAATATCTCCTCAGCTATTCCGAAGTGCACAAGATTGTATTCCTGTTCTTGGATAAAGCAGAGAGAGAAAAAGCAAGAAAATCTGCAGTAATGTTGCTGGGAGCAGCCAAATATATTGTAGCACACAAGCAACCATCTAGGTATGTTGTACATCATGAATTCATTTTTGACCACAATGTGCAAGGTCTGTGAAGGGAAATGGTAAACCTCTGAAGGTATTTCTTGCTTTTGCAGTAACGCTGTCTTGATCTGTTTTCTAACATACTGTAGCATGATGTGATCTTCCACATTTTCTGGTTGGTTTCCCTACCTAGTGGTATTGAATATTTGTGTATATTGTTTTTCAAGTCAATGTGATAATTTCCCACAGAAAATACCACAAATAGTAAATCTAATAGTTTATGCATATTCCTAAGAACATTCATTTAAATGACTTAATTTTTTTGTACAGCCTTTGTTTATCAAGCAATACAGATTATAGAGCACGTGCTTCTGAAGCCATCCCTTTATTGCTGTTAAGGTAAGTCCTGTTTATTGTACAGTTGAAGTTCTATTAAATATAACTACTCAAAGAAGTGGTAGTAGTTATATCTCCTCAGTCACATCTAAATCCTGTTAATATCGGTACACAGGCTGCAATGAACAAGGAGAGTTTAATTCCACACTGAAAAGTAGAACAAAAAATATTGATCTTTCTGCTTTTCAGTGTGGCTTTAACCACTACATGTGCCTTATTAGAACGTATGCTAACCTTAAGTTTGGTTGTGGTCATCAACCCTGAATCACACTGCATAGGGAAGCTTTTTATATTATAGGGCGATTGTCTCATAATGAATCCATTGAGTGAAAACGTATGTATTTCAAAGTTGGTTTTGACGGCTATTTATCACCAAGTACTAAACATAGCCATCTGAGCAGACTGCTTTCTGACAGTCCATGCTGATCATGTACTGTATCTGCAGTGGAAAGGTGTCGGTTTGTATGTGGTGAAATAACACTCTTTGGAAAATCGCACAGGTTCTAGATGCAGAGCATGCTGACTGGCTGTTTTACCGTGGAATTTCTCACTTGGAAATTCATTTGAACACTTACGAATAAGTAAAATCTGATTATTTTTTTTTCATTGCTGTGATAAAACTTTTGTTTGTTGCAGGATTACCAATATACTTCAGACTTTACTGGTTACCTCTGATTTCAGTCCCTCGTTTTCAAAGAAGCTAAAAACATTCGTTCAGTCACTTGTTCTGCCAGCTAATTGCACATCGTTTTATAATAGGTAAGCTTTACCTTAGTCAAAGATCAATGCTATAATATTGTGATCACTTTGAAATGTTATAAACGGCTTTGTAAAACTTGTCTGGTGAGGCACTGTGTCACAGTGGACAGCATTGCTGCCTCACAGCACCAGGGTCCAGGGTTCATTTCCAGACCTCTGGTGCTGTCTGTGTGGAGTTTGTATGTTCTTAATTGGTTAATTGGTTTCTGGGAAGATTCTCACTGGTGTGTGTGTGTGTGTGTGTGTGTGTGTGTGTGTGTGTGTGTGTGTGAAGGACTGGCATCCCATCCAGGATGTACCCCTCCTTGTGCCCATTGCCAAGATAGGTTCTGGCTCCCCTGCGATCCTGAATTGGATGACATTCTAGTAGAAAATGGATGAATGAACACTTCTCGGTGGTCTGATCATGTTCTCGCACGTTTTGTTAACGGTGTGATCGGAGAAAGTCTACCAGCCTTGAGAGGTTTGCCCGGATTTGTGTTCCAGCGTCAACGTCATCCCCTGGGACGATGCTTTACTGTCGGCTGTCCTGAGAGGACAGAACATCTCTGGGGAGCGAATTGTGAAGGGAAGGAAAGAGACCCTGTTTGAGCCCATACAGGTGGTGAAGACCAGGGTGGCGAAACTCAAGGAGCAACAGAAGTAAGGCACTGCCAGTTCTTTAAAACATGGTTGGCACATTCTTCTTTTTACTACAAAAAAGTCCAGTTTAGTTCTTAGCCAAGACGAGAACAGCAAGACACTTAAAATGCGATGTTCCTGGAGACCTAGTTTCTTGCAAGCTCTGCTGTGTAGGAAGCTACTGTGAACATTTTAATTTTTTCTTCTCAGGTACAGGGAGCTGGCTCGATACCTCAAGGTTGTGAAAAGCACTGAGAAGGCTTGGTAAGTACAAGTGTAGACTTTCCGGTTTTAAATTCTTAGGATGACATTTCTTTCGCATTGCCATCAACGGATTCTGATTGCCCGACTTTCAGATCTTTTAAGGCTGGTAGAATTTGTCTGATCATGCCATTAATGAAACCTGCTGGCACACAATGAGACCACGGACAAGCTTCTCTTTTCCGAACATTTAATCAAATTTAGGGTTGTGAGGGAGTTGGAGCCTGTCTGAGCTTGCAATGGGCACAAGACAGGATGGGAAGCCAGTCCATGCCAGGGCACACAGGTGCAAACACACACTCACGCCAGGGCACTTTTCCCAGAAGGCATTTGACCTTATTGTGTATCTTTGGACTGTGGGGAGGGGTACTGGACCACTTCAGCATTTTAATTCAGGGGTCTCTGACCCTTGTCCCAGGGAGCCCCAGTCCACTTCATTTTGAAAAATGGGTAAGACTGATGAATCAAGGAAGTAATCTGTTCAGTTATGAAACTTTTGGTGTCTGAAGGGTGAGTTGTACTAAACGATCTCTGCTTCCTTTAGAAATGGTTGACTGAATGGAATATGCAAGGACTAATTCATAACTGCAACAGGTGTCTTTGTACCTGGACAGCCCTACAGAAACTCTCCAGACCAGGGCTGGTGGTTCTTGATCTAATGTATATAAACCTCAGGTGCAAAATCTAGTCCTTGGTCAATTTATGTCATTAAATAAGTGCAGATTTTCATCCCATATCTACAATTCCTGCAGTCCTCCAGGACTGAAGTTGTGCATCACTGGTATAAATCCTCCTTTTATTCCAAGCCACTGGCATGACCTGGAAAAAGCTGAGCATTTAGTGTGGGGTTCTCCAGGTCTGATCTTTTAAGGGTAATAGTGCAGCAGGTTTTATTTAAACTAAGCTTAAGCCTGAGATGCACTAATTTAACCCTCTTCTAGATATGTTGTGCTGGTCATGCTATAAGGAGACCTGCAAAACCTGCTGAATTATTGTACTCTGGGGCCAGATTTCTGGTGGATGAGTTCTAGTTTGGTACTAAATTTAGTACCTGCAAATGTACCCATGTCAATAAAACCCCTCTGCTATTTCTACTGGAGATCAATGGAATCCTTATTCACACTGATCTCTGAGGACATGCACAGTACAACAGACAACATCACCCGATGTAGATGCATTGCAAACATAATGAATAATAACAACCAGGAACAATAAATATGTGGTAGTGGGTGGAAAAAGAACATGGTAGACCATGCAAAAAGTGCATAGTGTAGATGTGTATTGCAGCTGTTGAGGATGTGTACTGTGGTACGGTAAAAGCTGTTCTTGAGTCAAGTGGTCTGTGCTTTAATAGTGCGGTACTGCTTGCCTAGGGGCAGGGAAGAGAACAGTTTAGTTCAGTCTAGTGTTGACATTTGGACTGAAGTGTCAATGAATCAACTGGTTACAGCTTCTTCACGAGACATTGTCAGACTTGTCTTAACTTTTAAATAAAACTCTGGTCCAGTAGTATATGTACAGTGGTCTAGTTAGTAGCTTGGGCCCCCTTTTTCGAAATTTTAAAAGGATTTTGTTTTTTGTTTTTTCGTAGTTTACAAAGCATGAGGGATTACTTGCCGCTCTTCTTGTGCAAGGCTGGGGAGTTCATGTTGGCAAGCGACAGTTTTTTCTTCAACTCGGCTGCGTTTTGCTGCATTGCCTGTCGGCTGAGTCCCATGCAGTTCGGCGTGTACCTGAAAATCCTGCGCAGTGGACAAGTGCTGGAGCCGTGTGCCTCGGCGAAGTGGGAATTAGTCAAAGGTTACTCGAGGCAATTTGCACCCTTTGAGGAAAAGAACGGAGTTAATAAACCCTTCGGTTTGTTTAACTCCGTATGTGCAGTATGATTTTTTTTTTTAATAATGTTCAATTTTTCTTTTTTGCTTTAGGTGCCAAGCCTCTGAAGAAGTGTGATCTTATCAAGACTGGCATTAGAATAATGAACTACAACTCGGCAGTGTTCAGTCATGTAAGAACTGTTAATGTTTCTCACCCACATTCATGCTATGCATATAAAAATGTATTATTCTGGACAAAAGGCTCCAAAAGCCACATCCTAATGTTGAGGTGCTGCTTTTTCAGCAGCAATTGCTGAAAGTATTTCAACAAGTTGCTTGTGTCTGTACCAGAAAAGCCTTCTTCCCGTTTTGCTTTTGTATGTGGTAAGAATAATGTGAAGCATTGATGCATTTGTATTAGCCTGCAAGCTGGGCGGATCTCATCCAGGCAGCGTGCAGCTCTGAGGAGTTGGCAGAAGGTGGCCTTTTCACCTGTGTGTCATTGCAAGAACCCGATGAAGGATTTCAGCAGGTAGAGATCTTCAGTTATTGTCCTAGCTGACTGTCCGTGAACTTAACATGTGTCTCCTATAATGAGTTGAGTTCTCATTTCTCATCTCCTAAAATATTGTGACCCTTTGTCATGGTGCTTAAGTATTTTCCTTCAATATGATTTTATTAATAACGTATAATAACTTGATTTTTCTCCCCATTTGCAATGTCTGGTGACTACCTTAAGGAATAGCTACCTTAAGAGCACACTCCTTTCCTATCTTAATGAAGCCTGCACTAAAAATGATTAGCTCATTAATTCAAAGGGGAACTGTGGTTCCGATTTCTCAGACTGGTTATTAAAATTTCAGACACAAAATAAATTCATATAGAATATATTATATAGGTATAGAAAAAAAATACGATTTAACCACAAAATCGTGAACTTTGTGAAAGTACCAAAAGTCACCAAGTTGTCACAAACCCCCGGTCTCACCACGGGTGAGAGCGAGAGTTCCCACGAATTGTGACATGATGCGCCCTTCCCGCTCACTAGTCACATCACGCTAGTCACTGTAAAGACTAATGTAGTGTGATGTAAAGACTGTGTGGCAGATTTCACTGCAGAAAGTTTCCAACGTGATCTGCGTGCAGAGTTAACAATGTTTGTTAATTGGAAATCGGGAGCAATATTTCTATTGGATTCAAAGAGATCTATTCACAAGCCTGTTTGTTTACAATGTAATAGGGCTGCCACACATCGCTGGAAGGTTTGTTGCCTCATTCTGAATCCCAGAACATGGCACTGCGCATACATGGATATTTAGTCAATATTGTGATATAAATTGGAGGTTTTACAGGTTACTGTGTGAATTTGATTTTTATTGTGATAGGAAATGCACTTATCGATGTTGATTCTTTCTAACCCCGAAATAGAAAATAACATTGCAGTTCCCCTTTAAAATAAAGGGGAAGAATTAAATGCCTGTTTATTTCGAGTATGGTCAGGTTTTGGCTGTAAGATTGCTTGTGGAATGTGGGCATACGAAGACGTGTTATTAAGAGCTGAGTAATTCTGCATCTTATTTTTCCAGCACATGATGTCCAATTAATTCTGGTTTTACCTGCTCTTTCTTTTCACAGAAAACAAGAGAAATTGCCAGTGGTCTTATTGAGGATCTTAAAGCAAATCAAAGCATCAGCATTCCAAGACATTTTTACAAGGTGACTCATCTTTAATCAAAGCAGTGTTTTTGTTTCAAGCACTCATTAGTACTTGGCTGCACAAGATTTATTTTCAGTGCTTTTGTAAAGCATGTTTGAAGTCATTGCACCCAGTTTCTTCCCTTCTGCATTACGAGTTGCAGGAAAACCTTGTTTTTTCTGATGCTTCATCCACTTCATTTGTGAATTTTAAAAATATAGCTTGCACGTAATGTTTTTTTCACAGATTATTCAGGATGGTAAATAAGATGCATTATTTTTAATTTTATTTTTCACCCTATAGCAATTCCCAGACCAGACTCTCCTGATGCTGGTTACTCAATCCCTGGCCTATAGACTGACTGTTCCCCAGAGGATTTCTGTCCTCGTTATTGTGATGGCTTTTAAGGTATAGAAATCGCTGTATTTCACTTTAACTTAAAATGAAGTTATAATAATGATTTATTTTATATAGCGCCTTTAAAGGTGGCTTCTCAAAGTGCTTTATAGAATGACAACAGCAACAAGAACAATAAAAAACACACAAGATAAACACGATGCGAATACACAGAGGAAACAGTAGATGGTGGTACTAAGTACAGTAGGAGCAGAGGAGTAAAGAACCAGTTAAGTAAAGGCTCTTCTAAAGAAGGTTTTGAGTCCTGGATTTGAAGGAGTTTAGAGAAGGTGACTCTCTGATTCCTTGGGGAGAGAGTTCCAGAGCTTGGGGGCATAACAGGAGAAGGCCCTGTTACCCATAGAATGTAGATGGGCTTGGGGGACAGTTAGGAGACCAGAATTAGAGGAGCAAAGGTTGCCAGGTGGGGAGTAGGGCGATAATAGATCAGACATGTACTGAGGTGCCAAGCCATGCAGAGCCTTATAGGTGAGCATGAGGATTTTGAAGTCGACACGGCACTTGACAGGAAGCCAGTGCAAGGACTCCAGGACAGGAGTAATGTGAGCACTTGCGCTAGACCTGGTCATGATTCTAGCTGCCGCATTTTAGACATACTGGAGTTTGTTCAATGTGGATTTGGATACCCCAGCCGTAATTTTCTTGTTTGTGTCAAGTGTTCTGCAAAAAATCTTGCAGATTGTGCCAGTAAAGCATTCTAATTTCTGTTACTATTTCTTGTTCAAGAGATATACATGATTGGTAGTAAACAATCATATGAAGTGGACTGATTTTTTTTCTTTACATTGATTTCAGCAAAATATCTGGGCGCTGAAATTCCTCTTCCGAAGTCTCAGTGTAAGCCCCGATGCCCTGGTTGTATTTGTTGATAGCCTCCTTGAGGATCTTTACAAGGATAATCTGCTGCTTTTCAGGTATTGCTGCCATTATGAGAGGCATAATAGATTGTCTATTTTTAAATTGCTAGTTACTTCAGCCCTTTAGGGGGTGTGCAAGCGATTCATTTTTCCGATGTTTTTTCCTTTGTTACTGGTACATTAAATCGCCTGAGGAGTACGACTTGGTAGTGCCATCCGGGGAATTCTGCATGCACTGCTGGCATCCTGTCTCCTCCCACTGTTTAGGTGCCAGCCACGTACAGTACTTCATATGAATGTGTCCTAAAAGTGGAATGGTGTCCCATCCAGTGTGGCTTGGCTGTCCCCCGTGTCTCCTGTTTAAGTCCTGTTTTCCCACAACCCTCTTGGGATAATGGAGAAACTCTTTTCTGCTGGCCCTGTACAATTGAGACTCCACTTTCCCTTTTTTCCCCAGAAAGTGCAGTGACACAGACTACGAGTTCATCAGCGATTTCATCTTCTTCTGCCTGTCGTGCAGCTGCTCCTCTGTGGTGCAAGTGAGCCAACGACTTGTCGACAGTTTCTTGTATCAGTGGAATGAGTAAGATATTTTTTTTTTCCCTGTCTAACGTGTAGCAAATTATTTTGACTAAAATGTCTTCTAAAAAAGCCATATCCTCTTAAATAGCCAATTTTCTTTTTGGTAATGCAAACATGTGCATAGATTTTCCAGTTGTTTTTCAATCTCCACTCTCCAGCCCATATGTCGTGTGCTTATCGGAATAATTCTGCAAGTGCAATTTTAGACTTGAATTTATCAGCCTTTTCATACAGTTCATGTTTAATTTTTTGACATTGTATATGTGCTTTTTTTTAAAAATGTTCCAGGCGGCGGTTTCGCTGGCAGTTCTACCTTGGCTCAAAGCTTCAAAGATCTGTAAGGAATCTATTTTTTCCTTTTAAGTTGATCTTGTTGTGGTACATTAGTTGAGTACACATGGTGAGGTTTCCTGTATTTGGAACAGTTTGCAGATGGATTAGTCACTACATTTTGGATAAAGGCTGTGCCCCCGCCTAGATTTTATTCAGGCCCTTGGTGAAATGGAAACAAATGAACATTGCATCATATTTGATATAATTGAGTACAAGGGTAACATTGACACCTCAAAGTATTCTTTTAAGTAAAATCCAACACATTGACAGTACTTTTTCGAACACTGGAAGTGCTTTGGTTGCCTCCAGGAGAACTGCATGCATGTCTCAGGGGTTCCTGTTTTCCTGGGGGTGTAGGAGGAGGTAATACCTGGAGATTAGTCAGTAGTAGAGTGCATGATCATAGTTAAGATCAGAGCTCTTGGAAGACTGCAGATGAATGATCATTGACCCGTTCAAGCTGGGGTGGATAGAAATGAATCTGTTGATTTCCACTCTAGCGTTTGGAAAGTCTCCCACATTTTGACATTAAAACGCTAATCCATGCTACTTCACACTGGATTTTGATGTGCTATTCATCAAAATCTTTCCCTCCCCCAGAGAAGATGCCTTGGAAAAACTAGTTTAGTGGAAAATGCAGGGTAAAGGTTAAATTTGCTGGCTTAACCTGTAAATGTTGAAAAGTAGTAAGTTTGGCAATTTGTAATATCCCATTTAAACATGTTGGTATCTTTTTCTAGGATCTTCCTCATCTGGCTGTATCGAGCCGGTTTCAGACGCTGATGAGGAGGTTGAACGGTGCTGCTTGAACGTGGCCTTGGCCACAGGTTACGTATTGTCTGAAGATCTGCACTAGTGGACTTCAATTCCAGTCATGAAGAACTGGTGTAGCTATAGGCTTTAACTCCACTTATTGAGCTATTTTATGGACAGATTTGGACCAGTTTCACATCTCCCAGCTCTGGAAATGCAGTGTTTAAAGCAAGCTAAAAAATCTACATGCACTAGCCCATAACTGAAGACTACTAATCTACATGGTTCAGAAAAGACAACTGTACTTGACTACCATTCATTATTTATTCAACTGTTTATTCAAGGCCTGTACAGTGTTTCTATCAAAGCACTGTAATCATTTACGACCTCTTAAAACTTTCATTTTCTTAAAAGGTTTCAAAGCTTCTTTAGCCTTTTTTTTTAATATTAGGAAGCTACATTTTTTTTAAATTTGCAAAAAATTGTCCATATTGTGAATTGCAGGAAACCTCTTTTGTACAGCACAATAGTTTCTGATGGATGTACAGAACTGTACAGTTTGTATTATTAGCAATTTGTCATATTTTAAGTTCTCACAATAGCTAGCAATTCCTTTTGCTTTAAGAAGACTGTTTAAGAAAATTGAATGTGATAGAGCTGTTTCAAATCATATACCATTAAAAATGCACATCATTTACATCTCAGTTTTATTTTCAGAGGAACAGGAATGGGGATTGCACTCATTAAATATTTCATGAGTGGCCTTTCTATCGAAGCCACTAGTTTTGCTTTGTAAATTCCAGGAAGCCATCATCTTTATTTTCATTGCAAAGATGAGAAATCTGGACTATGCAGTACAATACCCATTTAGTTTACAAAAGGTAAATCATTCACTATTTCATGAATGTTGAATTTTGTAATTACTGTATATATTAAGTGCCTTTTGCACTTTAGAAGTAAGCAGCACTTTAGAAGTAATTATACAGTATAAATGAAATTACTTTTTGTGGGTTATGAGGTGTTTGTCAATTGTACATTTACTTTCTATTTCTGTCTATTACTAATACACACCTTGTTATGATCTTAATTTGCAGAAGGGCATTAAAATTAAGTTATTTGCATTTTTTAAAATGTTTTGATCTTGTCGTGAGCGGTCTTAAAAATCCCAAAACAAAATGGGAAAGGAAATCTTTAAAAGCCAGCAGTGCTGTTTGATTTGAATTGAAGTAACCTTAGCATAAAAACAAACTTATTCACGATCGGCTGTTTTTGTAGAGGGCTCACTGACTTTCATTTCCCTCTATGCATTCTCTGACCGCGAGTCTAATTCTGGATCGCTGGGGAGCCTATGCCCTCTTTGCAAGCAACAGGCAAAAGGCAGAGTACACCCTGGGTGGGATGCCAATTCATCGTATGGCACACACTCACAGGCAGGGCTGATTGTTTTCCAGAAACCAATTAACCTTCCAGTGTCTTGTGCACCTGAGGCAACTCAAGCACACTGGGGCAGAACATGCAAACTCCATGCACGTATTCCCCACGTCCAGCACTGAACCCAGGCCCTCAGCACTGTGTAGCAGTGGTAGCTACTATGTCACAGTGCCATCCTACCATTTATATACCTTACATAAGTTCACAATGGACCCCCTGCTCACATGTTAACTGATGTAATGAAGGCTGTAGGCTAGCAGCGGGCGTGGCCACTATTGAAAGCAATGCAGCCTGTATCTCTGTGACTCTTGCTTTGGACCGGTTTACAAATGCTGTCATATGGGATTCTTTCCTGTTCCTCTCGGAGAGCCTGGGCCAGAATGTCTGTTCATGTGGTCGTCTTGTTTTCTTCAGTGGTCAATGGTAAAAATACTTGTCAAAATGACACCGGAAACCTGTATACTTTCTAACAACGTGTAAGGTTTTTTTTTTTTTGTATGTGCAATATACCTTATCAGGGAAGGCATGTACATTTTTAGATAGATACTTTCTTGATCCCGGGAGGGAAATTGTAGTGCAACAGCAGCTTAACACAGTCAACACAAAACAGCGTAACGAATGATACAGTAATAATAATACAATACATACAATCAGTACAGTGAGAAGTGCTCTAAGAAGAGTTACCCACCGTCCAGAACATACAAAGAACAAACCAGAACAGTTCACAAAAAGCTGTATTGCACAATAATAAGTATGAATATAAGTTTTTTGTGCCCTTTGGTACCGGGGCAAGGCATGATGTCTTCCAGAGCACAGGGACTGTCTCCAAGCGTAGGCTCGGGTTGAACAGTTGCTGGAGCACTCCACTCAGCTGATCAGCACAAGCCCTCAAAACTCTGGGACAGACGTCATCTGGTCCTGTGGCCTTACCCTGGTGAAGTCTCCTCAATTCCCTCTTCACCTGGTCAGCCTGGCCTGGGGGATGGTGCTCATAGCGCCGTCAGTGCTGCAGGTGTTAATGGGGGAGGTGTTGGACAGTGGCAGCTGCGGGGGATGGGGGGGATGAGTAGCTGTTGGGGGTCGTAGCTGTAGGCGGCCATGATTGTGGGAGGATGGAGGAGGTGTTGGGCAGTCGCAGCTGTGGTTAGGGAGCGTGTGGCTGTGGGGGGATGGGTGTTGAGCCACGGAGGGCTCTGAATCAAACCTGTTAAAAAACTGGTTCAGCTCATTGACCATCTCCAGGTTCCCCTCTGATACACCCCCAGCCTGTTTGAAGCCAGTGATCACTCTCTTGCTGCTCCATACGTCCCTCACCCTATTCCTTTGAAGCTTGTCCTCCACCTTCCTCCTGTAGGCGTCCTTGCTCTCTCTTAACTTCTGCTTTAGTTCCCTCTATACAAGCTTAACCTCTTCCCTGTCCTCCTCTTCCTTGTCATTCAGAAGAGCCTTCAGGTCGCTGGTGATCCAGGGTTTGTTGTTGGGAAAGCAGTGTACGTCTTTGGTGGGAATGGTGCTGTCTACGCAGAAGTTAATGTAGTCAGTAACGCAGTCCACCATGTTGTCTATGTCGTCTGCATGTGGCTTGCACAGCACATCCCAGTCGGGAGCCTCCAAAGCACCACGTAGATCCTCCATAGCCCCCTGAGACCATCTCATCACAGTCCTCATGGTCGCAGGTTGGCTCTGGACAACAGGCTTGTATAGTGGTATAAGCAGGACAAGGTTGTGATCTGATCTGATCGGCCGGGGGGGGGGAAGGGCTGTGGAACTATATGCGTCCTTAGCATTGGCATAAAATAATATAATAATTTTATATCATACAGTCATTTTAAAATATATATTTGGTGGCACCAGTCTTCTTAGAGAAACCTTAAATTAAGGGTTATGGTTTGGCAGCGAAGTTCTCTACCCTATACCAGTGCTTTTCCTTTTCTCATTCACAGTGATGATTTCAGGTCATTTTAATTAGCCTTCAAATGTTAATTACATTGTCTTAATTTGGGGGGAAGCATGATGAAAGGTAACCCTAGGACGAAAGATGTTTCCAACATGCTTTGGATTAAACATTTTGTGTTTTTTCAGATATACATGAGGCTTCTTAAGTACTATTTAAACTCCTGTTTTTAAAGAAATTACTTTATTTCCACATTTTGAGTGAAGGGTAATGTGAAAAGACTGGACATGAAAAACCACACAAATACAACCAGACAGATTTGAACCCTTTATTAAATTAATGCTTTCGTAGTCGGGTGTTTCGCAGTTGAATGACTTCGAGCAAACGAAACATAAAATGAATAAAAGCAACAAAAAATCATTTTAAACCATCAAACACTTGTGTGCAAACTTAAATAAAACAATTATGCCGAACATTTGCATGATTAAAAGCTTTTTCAACCAACTAAAGGTTGGTTATAGATGGTTTACCTTGTAGTCACTCATTACACATAAGAGAGGATAGTGTAGAGAATGGCTTCACAGTTTATTCAAACAAAAAGATCAAATCATTTGACCTGTACAAAGAATGGGTTACATGCAGGCAATTAAACAGTACAAATCATAGTGCAATTCTTGTTGCTTTACATTACCAGCAATGGAAGATTAGGAAGAGGTGTAATATTAATGCTTTGTTAGATTCAATGAATTAGCTAATTTAATAAATCTGTTTACAGTCAGTGTAAAGGAGAAGTATTCAAGTTTGGGGAAAAAATACAATCTTAAGTGTAGAGGACAGACTATAGGCTCTGAGATTCAAACTGCACAATACTCTTCCAGTTTTGCATGGAACTTAGGCAGTTTTTGTACAAATAAATGCTTGTGTCATGAGGAAAATGTTTAAGGCCTGAGAAATAAAAGTACATGGCATCTGAATTTCCAGTTTAAAGAAAAAATGCACATATGGTTCCTTCATACAAACGAACCAACAGCAGACTGTTGTGTTCTCAATCTTCAGAACACCCTTTTTGGCGTCGGTTTCCTTCAGTGAAGCAAATAAGTTAAAGAGAAACGTAACTTGGTAAATATAATTACAAGTATAATTCATCATATCAGTTTATTGAAGAAGGAAGGTTTCTATGGCACGTTTTGAAAGACTAGCACATACTGTAACACCAGTAACCAATATGCTTTGGGGGAAAAAAAAGATGTGCCTATTACTCAATATTCAATATAAGTACATCCAAAACAACTTGTTTTCTGTAGATTAATTAAACATTTTAATGAAATGTAATGCAAGTTTTGCATGGGAGGAAATTAATGGATTAATCCTTTTTATTACTGATTTATTAAATGAGCAGTTCAGCTTAATTGTGATTTTTGTGTGTGCAGCATGCCCATACTTTTACAGTGAATACAAAAACTGCTCACTTTCAAATCCTCTTGGGTACATGACTGCGACAACAGCCCAGTAAGGAAGGTGCCTTCTTCCAAGACGGAACTAAGTAAAAATAAGACTTCCCCACAGCGAAAGGAGGAAGTTCAAACTTGAAATTCAAATGTTCATACATGGCAGTTGATCCCAGTACTGCTGCTCCTGAGATCCACACTTCTGCTGGTCTGTGGTCCAGCCTGGCTCTCGGTTACCCATCCCCTCAGTGACTCAATAACAGGATGAACTACAACTGTTTTAATTACGTTCAAGTCTTAAACATGGTGGGAGTTAGCATTTTTACTATTGCATTTCATAAGTAACATGAAATTCCAAACTCCTGAGTACAAAAATAACTCGAACATGTTACAAGGAAGCAACATATTAGTTCAATTAAGGCTTCAATTAAGTAATTCAACTGGGCTGGAATGAAAACCAGCAGGTTTGTGATCCTCTAGGATTGGGATTAGCAACCTCAACAGGGAGATATCAGGATATCCGACAAGATAATGGCTTGTAGATCAGGGTATCTAGTGCCAAGCTCTGCAGAACTCTTAACAAAACACCTTTAAATTTCTGATTTGCGCCAGTTACACTCAAAAGTATTTTTGGAGCAATTTTCATTGACTAGAGCCTCTAAGGTTTTCTATTTGACTACCTTCTAAGAACAACATCTGGTGTACAAATGTTTATATCAAGATTTTCTGACTTTGAAACTGTTAGAAACGAGATTTATAATACGGTGGTCATCTTATAAAGTCATCTACTTTCCGCACAAACACGCTTAATACATTCTGTGACGAAGAGAGAAATGGTTTTGTTTTATTGTTACCTTCGTACCCACGTGACCGATGGCCAGGTTGAGCACTAAATTATCTGATTTACATAATGAGATGTATGTAGTATTAAAAAACAAATGGTCAAACCAAACCATTAACGACTTACATTTATATAGTGAAATAAAAAATAAATCTGTCAATTACCAACAGTTACCTGCATGCCAGGGAAGACACAAGTCTAGTAAAATAAAACATTTGTAAGAGTGCACATATACAACAGCAATGTTATGGTATACTACACAGCTACCAGCATTAAGAAAAGCCATGCTCATACCCAAGTACCTGTGCATGTTTCAAACTATGGACGGAGGTATATAAACGCCCTACTTTAATGAATGTGTTCCACAACAATTTCAAGTTACTACTGGGGCACAAGGGGGGAGATGACAGGGCAGTTTCAAAAATATCTCAAATACATTGGAGCATGCAGTGTTGGTGCATCTTCGCAGCACTTATTTTTTCCATGCATAACCAATAGGCTTCTCATTTTGTACTGGTTTCTCCACAATTGCTGAGTATTCTGTAGTGCAGACCGTGTGTGTCTGTGCAGGGTCTAAGCCTGGCAAAAATCTTTCTTTGTGCTTTCTCTCTCTCAAGATGCTACTTAACCAAGAAGGACGTGTTCAGCCCTAGGCAGACCGCGATGGAAGAATACAGTTTAAAACCAGAACACGTTGGGAACCCCAAAATGACAAAAACACTTTTTTCCTTTTTTCAATTCAGAACTGAAATTGACTGGGACACTATGGCTTAGCTGAGGTAATCAGGCTCTGGGACTCCCTGATTATCTGATGCAGGATGTTCACTTAACAAGAATCGATTTTTGGTTACACATGGCTTTACAGCGGATACTTCTGCAAAACTGAAAATATTCTATTATGTACAATTTAAAAAGAATACTAACACATTATAAAAATATCTGCCTCCTGTGTCTTCTGTTGCCAACATTTAGTTAGCAAACAACACTTTCTAAGGGGTTTCAGTCAAAACAGACACAAGAACAAAATTACTAATGCTGGTTAGTTTTGAAAAACTGAAAAGCCTTTGAAAGCAGCCATAGCTCTTCAGAAGGCAAACTCCCCAAAGCCTCCCAGTTATAGTCTTAATTCCAGTTACAAAAATGAGCACATTGTAGACACATTCATTACAAAAATGTTTCCCAAAAAGGCGAAAATAAATATGAAAAATTCTCACATTTCTCCAGCTGTATTTTAAATTATAGCAGCAGACAGATACATTATTTTGAGATGAGTCTTAAATAATTCTCATTAGTCCTTATTAGAACAGATACTATGAAATGGAGACTTTTGCTATGAAATGGAGACTATATTTTGTTAAAAGAAAACAGTTCGCTCTGTATTAATAAGGTTGAATCCCTTTTGGCTAGGAGGAGCAAAAGTATTGTTGCTAAATTTAATAAAGCAATAATACTGGTTTGTTTTGCACAAAAACAAGCTTTGCATAGATAATGATAACTGACTCTATATCACTGTCAATAGTCAGATAAAAGTCTCATTTATCTAATGATAAGTCACGCAATGCTCTTTAGAAATTAAGGAGATTCAATCATGGCTTTTGTAGTGCTCCTAGTCATGTATTATGATATAACCTGAATTTCATCCTCAGCGGAGGAAGTTATTCTGCAGTGCATGCTAGACCATTTTCACACACTACTGGATCAATTCTAGTATGAGTGTTAAGGAAAAATAAAAACACAACAAAAAGTTACAGTAACATTGAAGCGCTTAATTTAACCCCCTTTGGCATTGAAAAGAAGCACACGTAAGGCATGCCAGATATTTTTCTAAATGAAACCCCAGCCATGCTGATCTTTTAACTCTTTGTCCATCATGTTCAACACAGGATTGCCATTCTAGAGGCACGCGCAGTGTGTGCCACTTGCTTAAAATAACTGCTTCTAAGAGGACTGAGCTTCTCAAGTTAGGCTAGACGGTGAGATACATTCCACCTAACCTATCCTAATCGGAGTTTGACACTCGGTGCCTATCCACCTACATAAGAAAACAACACAACATACATATATTATCATCAGAGATTCAAGCGGGGAGATGCAGAGGAACGTCAACTAATTGTTCATCATTTGTGTCTGTAGCAGGTTGCCGCTGTAGGCTTTTAGGAGACTTTCAGTGTTTGCCAGCGTTGGTCGATTAGCACAGACCAAACCTTGAGGATGGGCGAAGGATCTGCAGAATACAGCTACAGTAAATAACGACTGCTTTTTGGCAATGATTCCTTTGTCACTGGATTAAAAAAAAAACAGAGCTTCACCTCCAGGACAGCTGAGAGTGTGAAATAAACAAGCTCAATGGTTGGTAGTCTAAATCAGAAAGGATAAATCAGAAACTCGGGGTCCTAGAGGATAATTCAGGAAACAGGCTGGGCAAATCTCTTCCAAGAAAGTTCTTATATTTTCGGAATTCATTCCTAACCCCTGCATTAAGACAAGAAAAAAAACAACAACATTTCAACATGCACTGCTGACACGTCTGGCCACACACTGCGTTGCTCGACTTGCCATCTAAAGAGCCAAAGAGCACAATGACTCAAAACAGAATAAAATCCAGATTAAATTAAAAGTTTGGCCTGCCTGCCAATCAACAATCACCAGCCAAGAAATCTTGGGTATTCAATGGGTGGAGGGAAACAGCAACTTGAAAAGAACCCATCATAGGTTATTAGGTTTGCAATTTTTAATTGTTGGTAGGATTTGAAAAGCCAAAAGGCTCTTTTTTAAAAGTGAACCAAAATGTCTCTGGTTCTGTTTCGTGTAGAAATGCTTAGGTCTCCTTTGGAAGGGTTCAGTATGCACCACAATCCAAGTTCTCCTTCCTATAGATGACCCTCCAATAGTCTCTCACGTATGACAAGTTATGCTTTCTATACTGTTGTTTTTTTCAATATAAAAAAATATGTAATAAGAAATATCACCACTTGTATACTTAATATGAGTAGGCCAAATGTTTATTGTCACTAATTGCTGCTAAAGTTCGCAGATGTTAAAATAGTACTGTGAACTGCAGTAGCAAAAGTCTGTTCTGCTGATATTTGGACACATGATTCAGATTCAGAGTTTGACAACATGGCAAAAAAAAAAAAGAATTAAATAGCATTGGGAACTTCAACTGTAACAGCATTCGTTATTTAAATGCATAAAATGCCGAATACCTCCATTTTCTGCTCCAGCAACCACCCAAAGACGTCGGCTCTGACAATGGCAGGAAGCAGGTCATCCCAAGAAACGCAGGAGGGAAACAAGAACCCAAACATTCATTTACATTCATTTTACCTCTCCCCTCTCGACGTGGCGGGGAGGGAGAGAAGGACCAGGAACTGCACAACTGCCAACCAATTCAACTAGATTTTGTACAAAAAGCTGGTGACGTAGTTAAATGCAAACGCGCCCTTTCTCGGCCCCTGCAGGTAGAACTGTTTGATGAGCTCAGACAGGAAGTGCACGATCCTTGCATCCTCCTCCTTGCAGCCCAGGATGTGGTGCAGGAAGCTGGCCCTGCGGGAGGCCACGGACTCCTGCCCTTCCTCGGGGCTGATGGGGAGGTGCAGGTGATGGCAGAAGGTGTAGAGGAAGGCCCTGGAGCTCAGCTGGGTCAGCATGCTCTGAACGTGCATGAAGTAGGTGCTGCCTCGCTTAATCTGCGTCCGGTGGTCGGCCAGCCTGCTGACCAGTGAGCCTCTGTACGCGGGGGAACGCAGGGTCTTGTGATCAGTGTCCACGATGCTGATGTAGCGGCTATAGCGATTCAGGGAATACAGCATGCTGGAACCTGTGGGGGAGGCCATCCTGACAAATCAGAGGGAAGCAAAAGACTAGGTTAGCTTACCTTAGTCCTTCCTGGCAATGAGTCACGCTATTCAGTAACCTTATCACTTAATTGTGACATGTTCTTACCACCAAATCTTACAAAGTGTGAGTTTGCTATGGAAATAGTAGATTATAAACTAAGTATCATAAGAAACGCAATTCTCTACACATGTACGCTTGTAGAAAAATACAAAGTTTACAGTGCTTGGCGTCATTTTGATTAATTGAAGATTCATGACTAAGTGCGATACACTCGAGCGACTTTGTTGCAGGAACACAAAGTCACCACATGGAGAGAGGAGTGGGCACAGGTGATGAGGGGATTTAACCTGCTGAATGTGAAACCTGGGGAAAAATCAAGAAAGAAATGCAGAAAGAAACCAATATGCATCATGCATTTTATGCTACTGGCATGTTGAAGCAATACCTCGGATGATGTCATCTTTAGCGATGAGCCTAAGTATGGTGAGGGACTGTAGTGGGTGTATGGCGGACATCTAGAATGATACAATAATTGACAAGGGAAGTCCAAGCGTGATCATCTGGGCAGGACTGGCAGGAGAACTTTAGTTGTAGAGATCGATGGCACCCTGACGCACTGGATGATGTTGATCAACAGATCAAGTCCTAGACCTCGCCTGCTGACCTTTCTGTGGGATGACAACATCCTCTTCATGCTGCTCACGTAAGAACAGTGTTCTTGCAATGACAGAGTGACGGTTTACTCTGTGGCCAACTCGCCAGACCCAGGCACCACTGAACATGTGATGGATGAGCTGGGATGACATGGAGTATCTAGGGCTCAGAGACCAGTGACCTGGCATGTGCCTGTCCACACTTTATGAGCAGAATGGGACAACATCCCACAAGATTAATTTGCAGCCTTTTGCCTTCTTTTAATTTTTCAGTTCTTTCTCAGTTTTTGTAAAGTGCCTTATGGAAAAACAATAAATAGGAACAAAACTGATTAATAAGGTGGTATCTGTAACCTGGTCAAAGCTTGCATTTCAGATATATACCTTGCATGGCTTTGAACAGTGGCCACACTTGTTACTAGCCTATGACTTTCACAGAAGACTCCCTGTTGATGAAAATGTTAATCAGCTTGACAAACGAATCTCATGACCTAATGATGCCTTTTCAAGAAATTGGCAGTGCACCTGCTACCAAAGACGAGATATAATTTCTCTAATGACCACGAATTTGTTGCAAAGTTCATTTTTTACAAGTTTCTTTTGATGCTCAGCACATACATTATATATGCACAAACCCATAACGAGCTTTTAACCTTCCTCTTGTCTCATGCTTCACTGAGCAAAGAAATCCTGTATTTATCCTGCTTAGAACCCATATCCCTCAATAAAAGATTAAGGATTTAAATAGAAACCTGCTGGCGAAAAGAATCCAAAAGGTTAACTCTCTGACATAGCTATTAGAAAGCTGATTATTGAAAGTACTGAATTTGGCCTTTCCTCTTAGAAAACGAGACATCTGCCCTAAGATTGCAGCCTACGAATTATGAATGCAGCTCTGAGACATGTCAGATTCTCCCAGAGCAATCTCGCACACCACCCCCGGCCAATGGCTCTCTGCAGGCACCATTCTCAGTGGGAACGCAGGTCAGGCTTCTAGAGGAAGTCTGCACGCTGCGAAACAAACTGAGGAACGGAAGAGCTGGCAATCAAGATGCTCGAAGGTGAGGGGGCAAGAGGAGTCGGCCTCCACGTCCCCATTCTCTGTGTGGGGTTACAGGGCTCGTCGCTATGAGCTGAGACGTGTGGAGATTCCAATTTGGTGGGAAGAACAAAGAAATAACTGGAACTACAGAAATTCTGTAAAAAAATAATGGGATTCTTGATAGAAAGGCACTAAATGCAAGGGAAACTACACTGGTTATATATATAGAGAGAGAAATAAATTTGATGGATTTTGTATATTGATTAAATGTATTTGGTGTCATTTTCATTAATTAGTCTTGTGTGATCATGACACCATCTCAGTGTTCGTATTCACACCCTATCAAGATGAACGAGGAGCTCCAACTATGATGGTCTGGTAGGGGTGTCAAGTCGCTACATTTCCACTTTTACTGATTGATGGTGATCAAGTCCTGGGATCTGACTCGCTGTCTAGCCTGTGGACTAAATATGTCAACGTTCCAGCAGGACAATGCGTGCTCTGCTGGCCTGCTTGTAGTATCAGAACACAGCAGATAAGCTGTTGGATCCCCTACATGCCAGCGATGAGCCCTGTTAAATGATGCATGTGGGATGAGTGGAGATGATGTGTAGCACCTAGGACTCAGAGTGGGCAGACTGTATAAGAGCAATAGGAAGCAATCTAGACGCATCTGCAACCTGGTGCAAAGTATGTGTCACAGCAGAACAGACTGTGCTGCTTCCAACAATGACTTTCACTGCAGCACCTCTGTTGATCAACACATTACAAGAGGTGTTGTTTTTTCATGCTCGGTATACAGCATGAATAAAAACAAAAAATCTAATCGTGTGATTGTGAGCAAGAAATGCTGAAACTCTTTGAAACCGACAACCGAATCATAACTACTTTCAGCTTTATGGATCTCGTTCAATGGAAGTCAGACAAAATCCTGTGAGGTGTAAGGACACTACGAAGGGAGGCTTCTCTTGCACTGAAAGGTGGTTTTTGAAGTACGCACGTCCACACGTTGTCCAAACTGGACAAAGTCAGCCATTTTATCATAAGACCATGTCCTCATTCACTCACTCATGTACCATGTGAGGGACATTATCAAGTAATCTTCTGTTACATTTTTAACATATACTTGTCCTTATTTTAATTATAATTCTTGTAATTCCTTTGATCTCGTCAGTATCATTCTTTTTAATACTAATACTCCATGAAAATTGCTTTTCTTATTTACTTAAGGCCTCGGCAAATGTGACACTGCATTAAGTATTCGTTACGCGATGCAAAAGTTGCTCTAGGAAATCCTATTTATTATAAAAATGGAAACCCCTCTCCGAGATGTAAGCCAGAATCACAGCAGCTAGAAAGGGGCAGAGACGTGATTATAAATTAATGATGAGCAGCAGGCGTTGTTTCAAAAGCAGTGGAGTACAGACACTGGCAGGGCACTGTTGCTGGCTGTGGAGGAATCCACACTCTAATCAGGCAGAATGTGGAGCCTTTGCCATTACGTCCTGGAACTGCAAACCGTCGAAAATGTATATATGTATATACATGTATATATAAATCTATATGTATTTCATATCGAAAAATGCAAACGTGGCCTGACATTAAGCGTGTGCAGAGAACGGCCTATGGAAAACGAGAAAGCTGAATCCTTTTTTTGTTCCAACATCCAAAGAATGTCGTCAAACACAACAGTATTAATACACCTGGTTCTGTGACGCTGCCGCCCTCAACTCCCACAATTCAAATTCAGATCTTCATGAAGATAATAACTGTCTTATTCAAAAACACAAGGTTGCACCACCAAAATTGAACTCTGTATTTGTTATCTCTTATTTGCCAACTGTTTCTAAGCATGTAGAGGTCTCCCGGGCTTACCTGTGCAGGCCAATAAGCTTCCAGTTCTGCAGGTCTGTTATTTGGAAGGGGGAGGTTACCCAGGGTTTGACAGCCTCGGCGTACTTGCCCAGATTGGGGACAAAGATGGATAAGGCATTCACCAGCTTGCGCACGGTTCCTTCGTCAGCACCCAGCACCACCAGAGTCCTCCCGCTCAGCAGGCAGAAAATGGCCTGCTGAGCAAACGGGTATTGTCTTATAAATCTCAGGGCGCTCTGCCCCGCCTTCTTCTTGTGCTTCACAGTAACGGGGTTGCCAGGGAGGAACGGGGACGACGCCCTGTCGGAGCTGGTGGAGGCACTCATGAAGCTGGTGCTGTCCGAGGCGTCATCCAGGTTCATCCTGGACACCTCGTCAGAGAGATAGTTGGGGTTCAGCTCGGAAGCGGGATGCCCCCCTGGAGCGCCCTCCTCCGCCAGGCAGAAATCCACCTGCAGAGCTGGGTCCCCTTGCCGGCACGACAGGGGCTCCTCTTTGACCACCCCGTTGGCACAGCACTCCTGCGCGAGCTCGGTCGAGGGCTCCTCGCACACCCGGCCCTCCTGCCCCAGGCAGCAGCTGGAATCCACCCGGATGTTTTCGTAACGGCCGGCTTCCTGCACGTCCAAGTGCTGCCTCGGAGCAGGGAAGCCCTGCTGGTAAGAGTCTCCGCCCCAGGCCTCCACACCGGGGTCCTCTTCGTGAACGGCGCAGGCGTACGATGCTCTCAGATCTTCGGGTATGACGGATTCCGTGGTGCTTAAGACTTCGATGCTGTCCTCGCTATTAGTCCTCCTGCTCGCCTCTTTCCTTCTGTCCACTTCCGGATTCTGTCCTTGGTGGACTGCCAGACTCTCGGATTTCATCACGGGTCCCTGAGCTGGGAAGGACCTCTCAGTCCCTAGTACTTCAATGCTTTCCCCACTGCCCACACTTCCCTTCATTTCAGCATTCATGGACTCTTCCAAATTGTCCTGGGTGATGTCACAGGGGCCGGACTCTGTCAGCTCGGTGTCGTGCAATCCATCCTCACTTACGTCCTGTTCCATTTTAATAGGAACGGTCTCTACGCAGGAGGTGTAGGACTCTAGGCTCATTGGCTCGCCTGGAAAGACAGGGGAGGAAGGAGGCATGTTGCAGACCAGAGTAAGCTTCTCCTCATACGGCTGCTTCTCAGCTCCTTCTTCTTCTTCTTCCTCCCACTCTTTGTAATCCTCAAACAGGAAGTCGGTGATTTTCTGCTGCTTCAGCAGGGCTCGCTCGATCTGGCTGGTGTGGATGTAGCACAGGTCTCCTCTGAACATCTTCTCGATGTGCGTCAGCTGGTCCATCGTTTGATTGAAGAAGTACAAATCACAGAGCTCCTCTAGAGTTTTTAGGCGCTTGTCAAAGCATTTAGCAGACTTTGCTTTTATGAGCTGAGGGGTGTAAGACGCTCTGCGTGCACAGCTCGAGTCTTCGGCCAATTCTTCACGATTCGGGTCATTACTAACCGAGTCCTGGTCTGCTTCGGCGGAGTCAGGCGGGTTGTCAAGCTCATAGGGTAGAAACTCAGGGTCTTTAGTTTTGCGGTTCGGGTAGGAGGAGATCTGCTTCAGAAGATCTTTGTGTTCATAGATGGATTTTTCGACGTTGGCTAGCTCGTTCGCTTTCTCTATTGCTTGGGTGGAGTAGCAGCCGTTGGTCTTCTTCTGCAGCTCCGTTTCCCTGTGGAGAACAGTCCGGGTGTATTCCAGGTCCTTCAGCTTCTTTTCCAGCTCGCTGGCGAACGCCTTCCGGTTTCCCGTTTTCAAGCACTCGGAAGCCTTGGAGAACTCGGACGAGAGCTCCAGGAACTGCCGCATTATCTTGGTCTCGTCGGCCGAGACGTAGGCCATACAGAAGGGCCTGACGAAGCCGCGGGCTTCCAGGTCATACAGGGTCAGGTGATGGATGTAGGCAAAGGCTCCTTCTTTCGAATCCCCGAGCACGACTTTCGAGTCCTCCACAAAGTTGAGCTTTGGGTAGCCACAGCCCGGGGGGTGTCCCACAAACGAGGCTTGGTAGTCCACAGACATGATCCGGAGGGAGAAATAGTTGAGATCAAAGGTTCCACAAACCTTGGAGTCATTTGGGATGGTTATGAGCGGCTGCGGGCCGACCTGCTCGGAAAACTCGGAGATGAGGATGAAATCCTTGGTGAATTTCGCAAAGGAAGTCTTGGACCAGGGATTGGCATTCCCAGCATGGGGGAACAGAGGCACAGAAAACTCCTCCGGGATTAAAGAAGGATCTACATACGTGTCCCCATAATCGTCATCTTTCGTCAGAGCCACCAGGTCAGGGGAACCAATCATTTTTTGTCTTTTAAGAATGACATGGGGAAAAAGGTACTATCAAATGATCATACAGTCTGTTCTGAAGGTCTATACATAAGGATCCATGTAGGTGTTCCAATATGAGTTACCTCCTTCAGTGTGTGCAACATTGACCCAACACGACACCGCCAGTTGCGCCGAATCACCAAATAAACACAAACAGGAATAGTGTCCTCGATCCCTTCTTTATCACCTCCAGCAGATCCTGACCCGACAGTGCTAACCAATGTTAAACATTTCCCCAGTTTTATGTCCTTCCCGGCTCGCCCACAAACACGACTGCTGTTATAGAGGGAACTCGAGCACAAACACACTGCTGAAGCTAAAACCACAAAATATAATCACAGCAACTGTAAAGTCAAGCACTTGCCGGTAAGACAGATGTACGGAGTCCCTTTAAGCGTTCCACGATTAAAAATTTAAAAAAATCCGTTTCGGTTCAAATTTACCTTCGGAAAACATGACAGCGAGTGATCAACGAAAGGAGAAACAGCGCTTATTTGTCACTATCGAAGAGAAGCATTAGAAATTAGCAGCCATTTTTACCCATATGACTGGCGATACTGACAAGGAAGTATCGGTGCTTCTTGCTGCTGTCATTTGGATTATCCCTTTTTATGAACGGTGGAAAATTATAAAATTGTATTTCTGATGTGTCTCGATTCACGTATTATTTATTTTAAATCATTTATTTCCATAATGTAAAAAGAACAGCGGTTGTAGCGCTCACTGGGATTTGTAGTTTTTTCCTCAATCCAGGTTACACTTTACGGCACAAATGTTTTTATTAGTCTTTGCGACCGGTTGGGGAAGGCGCTGAATTTGTTTCTGCAGAGCTGGAGTTTGGAGGAACTTGACTATAAAGTAAGTTACCGGTAGCTTTTTTGAACGATTGGGGTTTTGTGTACACGAGATATCTATGTATGGTTACAGTAATTAATATAATGTGTTCCTGTTTCTGGATTGCCTGGTTCTTTGGCAAAAATCCGTTTCCCTCCTTTTAGATGCCAAGAGTGAAATCTGGTCGAATAACGAAGCGATCAGTCTAATTATAATTTAACCGTATACCGTCCGTAAGCGGCATGTAGTAACAAAGTATAGGATAAAAGTTTGTACTTTTTTAGAACAAGCGATAAAGAAATAGGATTTTGTTTTGGGATGCCAGGGTAGTTGGTCTCTAGTTATATGTTGAACACCTGACTGTTTTAGCAATTGGAGAGGGAAGACCTCGGAAGAGCCATGTACATGATCTGTCATTGTCAGGTAGACGTGCCTTCAACGCCATGCCAGCGGTTGGGGCTGTTCTGGGATGATCCTCCTGGCCCGGAGGCTTCTGACCCTCCGCGGACTGAGAGAGACTGTCTACAGCCGGCACAGAGCGCTCAGTGGCCCGGCCTCCACAGACATGATCCGCAGGCTGCCGATCAAGAAGGTCCTCTGTGTGGCCGAGAAGAACGATGCGGCCAAGGGGATAGCAGAGATCATGTCAAACGGGAGGATGAGGAGGGTGAGTGACCACCGTCGGTGTCAGCGGCACCCCAGCGTTGCGTAAAGTGCGTGTGTTTGTTGCCACACCGCGGTATTTGAAGCTCAACTCAATCCTTCAGTCCTGTTTTTACTAGTCCTAGTCGGTGATCAACTCCAGCTTTAACAAAGTAAATACTGTTTATCAGGCTGACAGGCCTTTAAAGTAAAAGTTTTTCCGTTCATTCATTTTTATTTTTCACCGCTTAATCCAATTACGGGGGGCGGGCAGGAGTTTATCCCGCCAAGTAACAGGCACAAGCTGGGATAATAATAATAATGATAATAATTGCTTACACTTATATAGCGCTTTTCTGGACACTCCACTTAAAGCGCTTTACAGGTAATGGGGATCCCCTCCACCACCACCAGTGTGCAGCCCCACCTGGATGATGATGCGACGGCAGCCATAGTGCGCCAGAACGCTCACCACACATCAGATATCAGGGATACACCATGGACAGGACGCTAGTCTTTCACAGGATACGCACAGACACAAACACGCACACACTCACGCCAGGGCCAGTTGTCCCAGAAGGCACTTAACCTCCCAGTATGTCTTTGGACTGTGGGAGGAAACTGGAGCACCCGGAGGAGAACAATGCGAACACAGGAAGAACATATAAACCTCTCGCCCTTTTGGCTAAGATCAAGTGTAGTATGTCTTTGGACTGTGGTGAGAAAACAGGGAGGGGCGGGAACATACAAACTCCACACAGATAGTACACCAGGTCCGGAATTGAACCCAGTGGCCCTAGCAGTGCGAGGCAGCAGTGCTAACCACTGTGACACACACGTAAATGTTGATCTACTTGCTCAGTTTTATTTGGATCACACAGTTACCTAAAGGACGTTTATACAGCTTGATTGAAGAACCTTCCTCAAGCGCACAACAGCAGTGTCTCACTGCTGCCCCAGTTTTCTTATGATCCAGTTTTTTAAGGAGATTTATCCATTCGTAACTTGGCTTTGACGGTGAAGGCACTTTATTTGTTCTGAGTGCATGTTATGCAAGTGAGAAAAGCACTCGGTGTGACGTGTGACATCTAATGTAATGTTCTAAATGTTGTTTTATCAAATTGTTTTGCAGAGAGAGGGCCTGTCAAAGTTTAATAAAATCTACGAATATGAGTATCACTTGTTTGGGCAGGTAAAGTATTCTGATTTGCTTTGTCCGAAAGAGAATGCTGGGTGCTACATAACCTTTTAAAGGCTTAAAATTATATCACCGGCGAAACCTTATGTGGAAATGCAAAGAATATGTATTATCCTTGCTTGTTCTGAAATTAGTTTTTTTAAATGTTGTAAAGGCAGAGAATCAGCTTTGATATTACTGGGAATATGGGTTGTGGAGAATATAGGAATTTCACTGTACAAAAAAAATTGGCATTTTTCCCTATATTTGAGTCCTGGCTTTCCATTATTTCCACAGAATGTGACAGTTTCTATGACCTCAGTCTCTGGGCACCTCTTAGCACTGGAATTCAAGGCTCCGTTTCAGAAGTGGTATGGAAAACAGAAACATACAACCACCCTGTCCTCTGAATATAAGTCTTGCCTTTTATCCATCTGCCTTTTTTATAAAGCACTTGTAAACTTGTCTTGATACTTTAACCCTGATGCTTATTTATTTAATTATTAGTGAGCAAATTCATGACAGGCACATATGCTAGTCTGCACTGGACTGCAATGCTGTAATTGTGTGGTGTGTGGGCAGTGATTTTGGTTTTGGACAGTTCTCTTGATATAGACACAGTTGCCTTTACTGATGATACAGTGCACTGCTTTTCCTCTTAGGCACAGCTGTAATCCTGTGATGCTGTTCGATGCAGAAGTCGAAAAATATTGTCCTGACAACTATGTGAACATCAAGGTATGGTTGTGTGCCTTTTTATGTTGAATTTCCGGGCCATTATACATATCTTCTGTAAATGCGTTGTGATTATAGTATGTGAAGAGGCTTCTTCTCAGAGGTTCACCTTAGAATTCTATAGCTGATATAGCTGATATCATTTTGTGATAATTTGACATGGCAGAACACATTCTCAATAAATCTAAACAAAGTTAACCACTGCTTTCACAGACTCTCCCAGATCACTAGTCTGGTCGAAATAGCGATTGTCAATTTAGGTGAGCAATTCTTGCTGATCAGGAACAAGTAGGCATTCCATGCTCAAAAAGGTTTCAAATGGAAAAAGCTCAGTTTCGGTTGTGAGGGCGCAGGGACTTGTACCTCTGCACACTTTCTCACATTCTTGCTCTTCAAGAAGGCTCTACACTCAAATCATTATTTTATACCCTTTCGTCTTTTCAGCATGGAAATCTATGCAACTGCCTGTTTTAAAGCTCTTAATTTTTTTTTAATTATGCTTGCATAAAAAGTTAGTTATTTATATAATATGGAATACATGAACATTGCCAATAACGGAAAACAGTATTATCTTTTAAATATGAATTCTAAGATTATTGTAATGTTTCTGTCAGGTCGATGTTTCAACTTTGCCCTATTCAGATAAGAGCTGAAATACTTTCCTGAATCTGAGGCTTGAATCTTTGTCCTTTCTGCCTGTGATCCGAGCCTTTTCGGAACGCCTGTGAGGCCCCGTCTTGTCTGTTGGTGTCCTCTGACCCCTGTCCTTTCCACAGAGGACTCTGGAGAGGGAGGTGCACCAGTGCCAGGCACTGGTCATCTGGACTGACTGTGATCGCGAAGGAGAGAACATCGGCTTTGAGGTCATTGATGTATGCAGAGCAGGTGGGTGTTTTTTCAGTTCCCTCACTGGCGTCCTTTCCTGGTTTGTGCTGTTTTTGTGATTAGTCACAGCTGTTTGCAGATGCAGTCATTTTAATTTGGCTCTGCTGGAATGGGTTAACAGTGCCTCAGTGCAGAACTTTGTTAAATATTATAGGTAACCACTGCTGTTCCTACGCATGTTTTTCTTAAGAGCTTCACAAGGATTTCATGCCAGTGGATTAACAGTCCTGCACTCTCTGGAGTGGTTCAGCACTGTTGATTTCTGTAGAACTGCTGGAATGTTGTGTGCGCCGAGACCTGCTCTGTGGCTCTGTGTTTGGTTATTGACGGGACATGGTGGCGTCTAATCCTCTGTGTCTGTCGTGTCAGTGAAGACCAGTCTTCAGGTGTTCCGCGCACGGTTCTCCGAGATCACCCCCAACTCCATTCGAAGGGCCTGCGAGACTTTGATCGAGCCTGACATCAACATCAGTGACGCAGTGGATGTCAGGCAGGAACTGGACCTCCGCATCGGTAAACTGGGATTCTGCATTTCCACTTACAGTGCAAAAAACAGTCAACTGTTTTATCTGCTGAAGCTTAGGTGTGAGCCTGGTTAGTACCTGGATGGGAGACCACTTGGGAAAAACTAGGGTTGCTGCTGCAAGGGGTGTTAGTGGGGCCAGCAGGGGGCGCCTAACCCACAGTCTGTGTGGGTCCTAATGCCCCAGTATAGTGATGGGGACAATATACTGTAAAAAAGGCACCGTCCTTTGGATGAGACGTAAAACCCAGGTCCTGACTCTCTGTGGTCATTAAAAATCCCAGGACGTTTCTTGCAAAGAGTAGGGGTGTTAATCCTGGGTTCCTGGCCAAATTTCCCACTGGCCCTTTACCAATCATGTCCTCCTAATAATCCCCATCTATGAATTGGCTTCATCAGTCTGTTCTCCTCCCCACTGATAGCTGATGTGTGGTGAGCTTTCTGGTACACTTTGGCTTCTGTATCATCCAGCTGGGTGCTGCACATTGGTGGTGGTGGAGGGGATCCCCATTACCTGTAAAGTGCTTTGAGTGGAGTGTCCAGAAGAGCGCTATATAAGTGTAAGCAACTGTTATTAATTAACACATCCTTAGTGATGCATGCATGCTAATGTGGTCTCTGTGTCAAAGTACGTCTATACTGTATATTTCCGAGTTAGCTTTGCCTACTAGGTATGACGTGGTCAGCCTTGTTTGAACTCCATTTTCTCCTAAATTAATCAGATCCCATTTCCATCGTTTCCAGGGGCATCTTTTACAAGATTCCAGACGCTGCGCTTGCAGAAGATATTTCCCACAGTCCTCGCCGATCAGCTGATCAGCTACGGCAGCTGTCAGTTTCCCACTCTGGGCTTTGTGGTGGAGCGGTTTAAAGCCATCCAGGCGTTCATCCCAGAGACGTTTTTCAAAATTAAAGGTGGGCCGAATTTTAAAAATAAGCTCTCTTTCTCATCTCTTGTCGGCAGCGTTGCTTTCCGGGGGCTGTTTTTCATTTTGGGAGCGTGGTCTCTCCGCGGGGCTCTGAGTCCTGTTCTGTTTCCTGCAGTGCTCCACCACACTGAGGATGGGGAGGTAGATTTCAGCTGGAAAAGACACCGGCTTTTTAATCACACTGCCTGCCTGGTCCTTTACCAGATCTGTATGGAGGTACGTACTCACACGTCCACATGTTCATTTTTTGCAATGTACGTACTTTATTTATTGTAAATACTTTAAAAAGTGAGGCATAAGAAAAATCAAGAGGAATATAGAGCCTTTGAGACATCCTTAACGCAAGCCTAAGGCTAAAACAGCACTTAGAATTTATCTTCTAACATGGCCACAACAGGAAAGCCTTTAAGCTCCATTCAGCATGTTAATAATGTGTTTCCTAGAGTTTCTTTAACAGTAGTATCTGTTGTTTTTAAACAGTTAATGGGTTCGTGTTTGCAGTTGTTAATTAATGAAAAGAGTCCTTAAGCAAATGACAAGATGAACTTTGCACTGTGGCATCTGGAGGAGCTCTGTTCAGTAAGGTTTTGCATGTTTGTAGCCTGTGTTTTAATCATTTAGTGAAGGCTTTACTGTGCCTTTCTCTTCCAGGATCCTGTAGCCACAGTTATTGACGTGACCAGTAAACCAAAAAGCAAATGGAGGCCTTTGCCTCTCGACACTGTAGTAAGTACAAAATTGCCTGGACCTTTCTTACTGCTTATCTTGATGCTCTCCTTTAAGCTGAAATGGCTGCTCTGTGGTGAAATAAATGTCTTTGTTTGATCTACCCCTTTTCTTATCTCAACATCTCAAAATGCTTTTCAGAGGAGCTAACAAGTCAATATACAGTTACATTGGTTGAGAGAACAAATCTGAGATACAAAAAGGTCGAAAATAGCTAACCTCAAGAGATGTGCCTTTAAACAGCCTGTGACAACAGGTGCAGATGGGGAAGATTAACCAGTCCACAAAACACAAACACAATTTAGGTACATTTCTGCAGAAATCCATATCATCTAGTGTCTGGCACCTGTCGCGTTACACACACGGCAAGCCAGAGTTTAAAGAACAGATCTATCAAGGCAAAGTATGGTAGCCCTTGAGGTAGGAAGGAGCCTGATTGGTTAATGCTCTGTAGATTGGACGTTTTGAAGACAAGCCAATGTTCTGGATGCTAGGAAAGGACATATTCATGTGGGGTTTGGATCTGTTGAAGAGTCCAGCAGTTTTGAACATAGTGTACTTAGCGCTACTGGCAAGGAATGCATTATAGCAGTTCAATCTAGAGAAAATAAAGGCATGGACCAGTTTCTCAGCATCTGATTGGGACAGGATAGGTTATCAATGGATAATATTACACAGGTGAAAGAAGGACACCCTTGTAATATTTCTGACTGATAGACGCCGGGCAAGAAGAAACCAGAGTTTTTCACTAGCATCTTATCTCCCAGCCATCAATGAGTGTGTTAAAAGGCATCCATGTTGCACAGTTGGTGTGCTGGCTCCAGAAGCATCTGTCTTGTCACTTTGGAGCTGCATCCGGGTCTTAATATCTGACAGGCATTTTGTAGGAGCAGTGACACTTTGATAAGGCATATGTCTGCCTTAGTCTGCCCATAAATCTAAGTGTCCTCGAGGTTGAAATGTCAACACCATAGTGATCTGGTCAAGTGTAGATCCTGAAGGAATAGGGTCTAAAACTGAGCCTTGTGGAACACCTAAGGTCACTAAGGAGGTGGTATAAGGCTGCTCTTCCTGTTGTCACAGATTGTTTTCGTTCAGAAAGATCAGAGTCAAACCAGCTAAGAGCAGCCCCAGGAATTGCCAGTGTAGGTCTCTAAGCAATTTAGGAGAATTGCATTATAAACAACATTCAAAAGGCAGGACTTAGGTCCAGCAGAACAAGATTGGACAACATGCCAGAGTCTGCAAGCATGGTGGTGATCATTAGTCACTTTCACCGGGACTGTTTTTAGTGCTACAGAACTGTCCAAAGGCTCATCAAAATGATTTGAGAAGTTTGTTTTTTATCAGGTCTTGCTTTTGAAGGTATTACTCTGCACTGTTAAACTTCTTCTAAGAAAGAGAACTTATTAAATTGATTTCAGGGTCAATTTTGATTTAGTACACAATAATGATTTTGTGTTTGTTTCCTCTTGTTCCTTTATGCTTCATTTGTGGCAAACTATATAAGTGTAGATATATCCTAAACCTAAATATTTGATAAACTATATAAAAACGAATGGCTCTCAATCTTCAGATTTACATTTCACGACACCGAAACATCTTCACTTTTCGTCACTCCTGCTGAGCCTTTCCGTGTCTGAACTGACCGTTTTTTCCAGGAACTTGAGAAGTTGGCGTCTCGCAAGCTGAAAATAAGTGCCAAGGAGACCATGAAAATTGCAGAAAAACTGTACACCCAAGGGTAGGTCGTGCTGGATGAGACCGACTCTGAATACGTCACCCCTTTTTTACAAAATGCAGAATAATTAAACCGTGCTTTTACTTTTCGTGGCTTTTTTTTTGCCCAAGGTATTTCAAGGCACATTTTATGAAGTAGAAGGACCGGTTAATCCCCTGTGCACAAGGAAATGCCTTGTAATGCACTTTGATTTCGGGGATCTGCAGGGCAAGATCCATCGTCTGATGGGGGCCTGTGTGTTGTGCATTGCCAGGTACATCAGCTATCCCCGAACGGAGACGAACATGTTCCCCAGAGACCTGAACCTCACCTCCCTGGTGGAGCAGCAGACCGGGGATAATCGCTGGGGGGCTTTTGCTCAGGGTATCCTGGAGAGGGGTGGGCCCACACCACGGAACGGCACCAAGAATGACCAGGCCCACCCCCCCATTCACCCCACCAAATACACCAGCAGCCTGCAGGTGAGTCAGGGGCGCAGAGCTGTGCGGGACAATTCTGGGAACGCAACGTCTGCCTTTCTGTCTTGGAGCCGTTTTTCTGCCCTCTTGCCAGGAGAAAAGGAAAGTGACTGGAAATGAAAAGAGTATCTTGTAAAGAGTAATGGTTTGTGATCTGTGGCTAACATCTTGCAGGCTGCCACTCCAAAGATTAGGAAATCAAATTGCAGGGAAAAAAATCAAATACATTCATACAATAAATTCAGCAATATTGCTCACTAGGCTGAATTATTACAGATTATATGATAATATTGAAGGTGCTATAATATGATATGAATATTATCATTATTTATAAGAATGTTGTGATTTACAAGATTTCATAGTTTTGAAGATGTATTTTCTGCTTTGACAGCATGAAATTAAGGTATCAGGTGTCCTGCCTTTCCACGTTTTTTGTTGAAAACCCTGGGTAATTTGGGCTGGATTTTGTTTTTTCACTGTGCAGGGAAATGAGCAGCGGCTGTACGAGTTCATCGTCAGGCATTTCCTGGCGTGCTGTTCCCAGGATGCCCAGGGGCACGAAACCATTGTTGACATTGACATCGGCCAGGAGAAGTTCTCTGCCCATGGACTTATGATCATAGCCAGAAACTACCTAGAGGTCTACCCCTATGACAAGTGGAATGCTAAGGTATTGAGCTGTCTCAGCATTGCTGATGGAGTAAAGGGAGAACTTGAGTGAGAGTGTCCCGATCTGCTTGTGATTCCTGTCCTACACAAGCTTTAGAATGTGGAGCTGTGTCGTCTTCTCAGCTGCAGAGGGACAAGCAGGGGTCAGTTACACGCTGAAAAGTACCGTAGAGTGTGGAATTAATTAACCTCTTGTTTTGTTCAATTTATATGGTGGAAAGTCTTGAACCTTTTAACCTAACGTCCACTGAAACTCACAATGTAGATTCCAGTCTCTCATGCTACAGGGAGTGAAATGTTCCGCAGCTGGGAATGAAATTGTATACCTACCCCTCTACGGGTTGGAACAAAGGGATAAGCAAAAAGGAGAGTCTGCATGCCTCACTCGTTGGCCGCGGTGCCCTGTCTGTGCGGTAGGACTGAGGTGTCCCCTGTCCGTCTGCAGGTTATCCCAGTGTACGAGCCAGGGTCCCGGTTCCAGCCCACAGCTATTGAGATGGTGGATGGGGAGACCACCCCCCCCCAGCTGCTGACGGAGGCTGACCTCATCTCGTTGATGGAGAAGCACGGCATTGGTCAGTGCAAGCGCTTTACTGACCAGCACTGACACTTGCACAGAGACAAATGCTTTAGAATATTTGTGTGTCAAAATGGTTCTGCACTAGAAATTTTGATTGTCGTCTTAAACTGTATTTTGGCAGTTCCAGAGATGAAGCTTTTTTTTTGACGCTATAGAATCAAATAAAACAATATAAGGATTGTGGGTTATTCACAGTGGTTATGTGGATGATGTGCTTATTCAGGTGTCACTCAAACTGATGTTTCATTGCCCAGATTCTAGCGCTATAGCTTATTTGTGCTGCAGTTTCACTAGTTTATTATAAGAGCAGGGGACAACATTGTTTAGCTCTATTTTTTTTAAGACATCCAGATGTATGATGGGGATTTTCTCATTATAGCAGTGAAGGGTGGCTGACAAATGCTACAGTCTTGTTAGGGCAGATAAAAACCGTGAGTTTCGCTGAAGTGAATTTCCTCGTGGTCTGTTGCTGTGTCCCAGGTACGGACGCCACTCACGCTGACCACATAGAGACAATCAAGTCCAGGATGTACGTGGGGCTGACCGCTGATCAGAGGTTTCTCCCAGGGGAGCTGGGGATGGGCTTGGTAGAAGGTAATGAGCGTCTGCTGTTTTAGGCCCCTTGCACACTTTTAGAGATTTAGAGCAGCCCTGGGTTGCCTTTCCTGAACCATGAATGCTTCCAAAATTTAAAGGCTGGGGCTGACCTTACATATATGGCGGTGGTACTGTGGCTCAGGATCTGCGTCTGCGCCTGTGGCTGGAAGGTTGCCGGTTCAAATCCCGCGGCCGGCAGAGGAGTCCTACTCCGTTGGGCCCCTGAGCAAGGCCCTTCACCCCAACTGCTCCAGGGGCGCCGTATAAATGGCTGACCCTGCGCTCTGACCCCAAGCTTCTCTCCATGTCAGTGTGTCTCATGGAGAGCAGGCTGGGGTATGCACACTAGCCTTTGTTAAACAGGCACTTGCTAGTAAAGACTGGAGAGGGTGCAGGCAAACGGTCTCTTCAGCGAACATGTTGCTGTCATCACTGGTTTGCAGGCTACGACTCGATGGGCTATGAAATGTCCAAGCCTGACCTGCGAGCCGAGCTGGAGGCGGACCTCAAGCTGGTCTCTGAGGGCAAGAAGGACAAGTTCACGGTTCTGCGGCACCACGTGGAGAAATACAAGCAGGTCTTCATCGAGGCCGTGAGGAAGGCGAAGAAGTGAGTAAATCGGCCCCCTTAAGCTTACAGCCAGCAGCTACATCACCCTGTAACTCACCACTGGCAGCCCACTGCAGCTCAGCAGGTGTGAGTCTGGTCAGTACCTGGACGGGAGACCTCCTGGGAAGACTAAGGTTGCTGCTGGAAGAGGTGTTAGTGGGGCCAGTAGGGGGCGCTCACCCTGTGGTCTTTGTGGGTCCTAATGCCTCAGTATAGTAACGGGAGAACTATACTGTAAAAAGATGCCGTCCTTCAGATGCCGTCCTTCCTGACTCTCTGTGGTCATTAAAAATCCCAGGGTGTTTCTCAAAAGAATGTTAACCTTGGTGTCCTGGCCAGATTTCCCATTGGCCTTTACCAATTATGGCCTCCTAATAATCCCCATCTCTGAACTGGCTTCATCACTCTGTTCTCCTCCCCACTGATAGCTGGTGTGTGGGGAGCGTTCTGGCGCACTATGGCTGCCGTCTCATCATCCAGGTGGGGGCTGCACACTGGTGTTGGTGGATGGGAGTCCCCATTACCTGTAAAGCGCTTTAAGTCAAGTGTCCAGAAAGGTGCTATATAAGTGTAAGAAATTATTATTAATATTATTCGCTTGAGTCGATCGTGTGGTCTTTGTTCTAATACTGTGACAGTTTTGTGAGCATTTATGGGCGCATCTTTCACAAAGCATGAGAGCGATCCAGAGAAAAGAGTTGAAAGATCGACAGTGACACACGGGCAAATTGAGATTGGCACATTAAAGGAGTTATCTTGCCCAGCCCTTCCCAAAATCCAGGCGGTCCCAAAACAGATTACTCGGCCTCTGTACCGCGAAGAGCACCCCCGCAGGTCGCTCGTCCTTGCGTTGGGGGTGTGACAAGGAGTTTGGGGGTTTCAGGTTGGACGAGGCCTTGTCGGCCTATCTGGGCCAGGCCCGGGAGCTCCCCCCGCAGGACGAGCTGCAGATGGAGGGGCCCCCCGTCGTGAGGAAGTGCCCACAGTGCAGCAGGGACATGGTGCTGAAGAAGAAGAAGGATGGGCAGGGGTGAGAGAGCCGCCGTTCGCTACCGATCGCTGCTTCTTCCGTCGTCTCTAGCTCCTGCTGTTGTGAAAAGAACTCAACAATGACATTAGGAGAGATTTTATGATTGACTGTGCTTCTTGTTCTGCACCCCGAATTGGGATTGTTCTACGCACCACACATCTCCGTTCTGTTGGCAAGAATATTTCAGTTCAATTCAGTTTATTTTTATACAGCGCCTTTCACAACAAGGTTGCCCCAAGGCGCTTAACAAAGCAAGTGACCCTACATGTTGTGAATACAGAACAGAAAAGACCAGAAGACAACGGAGGAGAGGAACCAAAAACTCCTCAGTAAGGAGGAAAGAAACCTCTAGGGGTCCAAGGTCAACTGGCTGCCCAACCCCTTTGGGCATGCTAACATTATACAATTAAAAAAGAAATGAATGAATTAGGGTATTAATCCATCCATCATGTCTTCTGTACGTCAGTACTTCATGCAGATCTCTACTAAATGATAGCTATATCCATGAAGTCCCTCTGGGATCCATGGCAGTGATGCAGCATCCAACTCAGATGGTGCCCAGCCCGGGCGCCATCCGGACATGTGGGGAGGAGAATTTGTCTGGGTGCAAAATCCTGCAGCTGTAAAAAGGCTCACTCGAGAGCTGAATTGTGAAACTGCAAATCTGAAATGCACCTGAGTTTAATCACTCGCAGACTCTCCAGAGAGTGACGAGGCAGAGCTCTGAGCAGCAGGTTTTCGTGTTGCTAATTAGAAAGCAGAATCAGGCGATGGCAGATTTAAAACAGCGTCAGTGGTTTGTGAACAGACCCACAAATTATATAATTCCCTTTAAAGGAAGCGTACAATGAACTAACAGGTTTGTTTTTGTATTCTCTTAGGACGTACTTGTCCTGTGTAGGTTTCCCCAGCTGCAGGTGTGCAGTTTGGTTCCCGGATTCAGTCCTGGAGGTCAGTCGGGATGAAGAGGTCTGCTCGACCTGCCGGCCCCATCCCGTGCACAAGTAAGTCTGCACCTGTTCTTGATCCCGAGGGATCGAAGTGCCGAGAGAGCCTCCTGCCAAAAGCAGGGGAATCCGGTGAAACAGGAACGATTTGCCAGTTTTTTTTTTCGCGATATACCCGTTCAGATCAGAATTGACAGTTCTGCGTTTTTCATGTCATGGTTCAGATCCCTGCGCACACACGTCGACAGTCTGCTTTGACCCGCCCGGTTTTGAGCCATGCCTCTTTTAACGCATCACAGGCAACAAGGCCATCCACACAGGGCTGGGTGCTGATTAGAGGAGAGATGCCTCTCTCACTGACAGCACCGCAACCTGCCAGCACCTGGGAAGCTGCAGGGGTCACTGCATCCTCAGAGCTCTGGCCAGCTAAGCTCAGCTCTTTTTGCTGTGGGCATTTCTTCATCAGAAGAGCAGGAACTGGAACGGTCTTGTGCAGTTTTAGCCTTTGTTGAGCTCAGTACAGGGCTGGGTCTGCCCCACAGGACAGAGCAACAACTGCAAGGATTTCCCAACATAGGTACATGGGATTCATGACAGGGGTTCGTTTTACACTCTTAAGGGCTCAGTCCTGTCGTTTGAGGTTCATTACTTCTACTCTTAACACTTTGTGGGAGGAAATTAGTTTGTGCAGCTGTTGATACGAATCAGGCTCATTTTGCTTTAACATGCATTTTGGTTCATGCCGTAGAAGGCTAGAATAGCAGATTCCAGCTATTCCTCTAATAGCTCCCACGATGGAATCGAGCATTAAAATCGTAACCCTGAGCATGTGTAAGCTCTGTGCCTCTTCACTTCTCCTGGTGGCAGTAGTGCACCAGTGCTCAGGGAATCCCACTACTGATGTGGCCCAGGTTCAGACTCGAGATGCATGGAGCAGGGAGCTCAAACTCCCTTCAGATTTGAGCCACTCAGGGCTCCGCTGAAATATGAATGCAGGCAATTCCTGAGATAGTTCAATAAAGGATGTATTTCAGCTCACAGACAGCGAAGCAGCACGGATCGCCTTGCGTTGGTACACTTCCGCGGTTATTGCGAAATGGTTGCATGACTTGAATGTTATTGAAACCTTTGCCCTCCGATTGTCCGTTTTTTGCAATCGCCAGCCCCTCCGTGGTGCAACGCCTGCATTGGAAACCCCAGTGTGCTAGTGAAGGCGTCTTTCCATTTTGTGTCTGAATTACAGGCTGAAGTTTAAGTTCAAGAGAGGAAGCCTCCCTCCCTTGATGCCCCTGGAGTTCGTGGGGTGCATCGGGGGCTGTGACGAGACCCTGCGAGAGGTCCTGGACTTAAAGTACTTGAGAGGAGCAGGAGCCGGGGCACCAGCAGCAAACGGCACCTCGTCCGCCGGCCACCTGCGGAATAGTCAGTTTCTGAACCGGCCTAGGGACCGCCCCTCGCCCGCGCCCAGACCGGCGAGCAGCAAACAGCCCACGTGGACCTCGCG